CCTGATAAATTGGAAGCGATAGCGCTACTCACTTCAAATTGAGACACGACTTACTTCCCTTTGAAGGGACAAAAAAGAACGTTCAGAGCAGCCCGCAGCAGTCAGATGACATGATCACAAACCTTACGATACATTGTTCACGTCGATATGTTGTAAGAGGATGAAAATCTAGCATTGCTTATAAATTTTGACTGCGGTGTATTCAAAAGATGAACGTCCCAATATTAGTGTGCATAAAATTATTCGTCTCATTTTGCTTCCTTTTCTTATGGGCGCTTCGATGTATCGAAACAGATGATCGTATTTCGTTTGCAGGTATCCGTATCTGTTCAAAGCTTTTCATTGAAAGCTTGAATACAGACGATTATGGCTCATATACAAATGTACGTTCTCTTTAATTCACTTTTTATGAAGTTTTTGATGTACGGTAGCAGACGATTATGGCTCATGTATATACAAATGTCGACTATTTAGTTTAATTTTTTGAATGTTTTTGATGTACGGTAACAGACGATTATGGCTCATATACAAATGAACGTCTCTCTTTAATTCACTTTTTAGGAAGTTTTTGATGTAGGGGTAGCAAACGATTATGGCTCTTATTCAAATGTACGTCTCTTTTTAATTCACTTTTTAGGAAGTTTTCGATGTATGGTAGCAGACGATTATGGCTCGTATTCAAATGAACGCCTCTTTTTAATTCACTTTTTAGGAAGTTTTTGATGCACGGTAGCAGACGATTATGGCTCATATACAAATGAACGTCTCTCTTCAATTCACTTTTTAGGAAGTTTTTGATGTACGGTAGCAGACGATTATGGCTCTTATTCAAATGTACGTCTCTCTTTAATTCACTTTTTAGGACGTTTTTCATGTACGGTAGCAGAAGCTTATGGCTATTTTTCAAATGTACGTCCCTTTTTAATTCACTTTCTGGGAAGTTTTTGGTGTACGGTAGCAGACGATTATGGCTCTTATTCAAATGTACGTTTCCTTTTAATTGACATTTTAGGATGTTTTTGATGTACGGTAGCAGACGATTATGGCTCTTATTCAAATGTACGTCTCTTTTCAATCCACTTTTACAGGTTATTTTTGATGTACGGTAGCAGACGATTATGGCTCTTATTCAAATGTACGTCTCTTTTCAATCCACTTTTACAGGTTTTTTTTGATGTACGGTAGCAGACGATTATGGCTCTTATTCAAATGTACGTCTCTTTTCAATCCACTTTTACAGGTTTTTTTGATGCACGGTAGCAGACGATTATGGCTCTTATTCAAATGTACGTCTCCTTTTAATTGACTTTTGAGGAAGTTTTTGATGTACGGTAGCAGACGTAGCTCGTCCTCTCCACGACCAAGAGGCCATAATGCGCCTCCTCCTAATGCTCCTCTTGGTCGTGTCCTCGAGGAACAAGTACCCTGATGGGATTAAATTACCCCTAATGTCTCGTCGTAATCTAGGACGAGTCTTTATACAGATACGCTCTGACAGTGCCAAGAACCTCCTCCCGAGACATGCATCTGAATAAAGCGTTATTTTTAATCATTAATTACGGGAATTGTATACATGAGTTCTAAAAAATAATACGATTTCAAAGTTTAACCTGTGATTTTGGATACTGTTTCCGATTTGAACGATTTCTATTGGATTGCAATTTCAGAGAGGCAAAAATTTCTTCAGACTTGAATTGCCAATTAATCAGTCTACAAATTATTAAAAAAACCCCAATTAATTCATTTAAAAACTGTTGATCTTAAACTAAGTTGAGCTCACTACCACTTATGAAAGAGTGAATAAATAATGAATAATTTTTGTTCACCAGAAAATTTATAACATGAAGTAAAGATTAAACACTCATTGAGTTTATTGAGCATAAGGATCATGCAACTCCATGATCGAATACTGTTCAGTAAATTTAATGTCGAATTTTCTAACATCGATTAACATGATGCATAGCATTGTTGCAACAGGATAAAATATGAAATTTATGCAGAACTCTTCAAAATACTCTTTAATTGTCACAGCAGCGAATTAATAGCAACGCAATCATGGACATTAAAATAAAGTTATGATAGTTCTTCCAATTAAGAGCAACTTAATGGGGGCGAGCGATTCCGATGAATTTTGACACTTTCACACGCAGTGAGAGGGTAATAAAAAATATTTATTACAATTTTAATACATATATATTGCCTTTTAAAGGATAATATTTGCTCCAAGAATTTGGCCGATAGATGAGCAGTGCAGCTAATTCCCAATTTTAATTCCCGTGGTTGAGGAAGAGTTCAGCCCATTATTCAATGTTCCAGAATATGTGTAAAATTTAACCCCATATAGCAACCATGTTCTATGGTTGATAGTATATAAACGAATAAGAACCTGCAATAGAGAATTGGAAAATTCAGCCCATAAAAAACTTGAATTAAAACCTTGAACATTATAGCTAAAATCCCGTCCGAAAATCTTCAACATAGGTAAACAACGAGGAACCTTGACTTGAGGATGTTAATTTTTTGTTGCGATTATTTGAGTTAGATCCGGACTCAGCTACGCAGATACCCTACAATTGAGTTCTTAGGTTGAATTGAATGACCGAGCATGAGCTATAAATTTCCGGTGATTAAATTACAGATCGCTTCCTGCTCAGGCTTGTCAGTTATTTAGGAGGACTCAGGGTGCTGCTGCATTCCTGCTCAGGCTTGTCAGTTATTTAGGAGGACTCAGGGTGCTGCTGCATTCCTGCTCATGCTCGTTCATTATTTTAGGTCGGTCAAGGCAACAGGTCCCTCGTCGTTAACAAATATGCAGACAACACATACTATTGAAGATGAAGAAATATATAATAGTTTTAAATAAATTAGTGTGGGCCGTACGGGGCCAGGTTTATACTGTTGAAAAGGAACGTCTTTTATACCATTAAATAAAAGTACATATTGAATTATTAGAAGATTAACCATTCTCATGCCGGTTATTTCGGTAGCCATATCACCGTGGGGATAGACGGAGGAAAGTTATCAAATTAAACATGATAGCGCTAAAGAAGTATAAATATTTTGAAAAATAAGAATGGAAGGTCAAGTATTGTTAAAGCAGGAGGGAAGGTCTCGTATTGTTAAAGCAGGAGGGAAGGTCTCGTATTGTTAAAACAGGAGGTAAGGTATCGTATTATTAAAACAAGAGGGAGTTCCGCGCACCCTGAAAAAAAGACAGCTTCGTAGGGGTTGAAGGGAAAGGTACTGCCAGGGGCGAGCGAGGTTCTAAGGTGGGTTGTAATCCACATTCAAATGTCACCGCTAAACTGAGTAAAGAACGGTTATGTGGGACCGCCATGCTAGGTGGCGTGAGATCTCCGTGGCCCTGGTGGGGCGAGGGCAAATCTTGCGGGATATGTTGCCAGAACTAACAGGATAAGCAACAGAAAAATGGGCTTGTTGGATGTACTGTTGATGGAAAACCAGTCATTGTATTAAAAAATTATTATTTGGAGATATTTCTGTTAAATGTTTTAAAAATTTTGCCAATAAAGTAGTTAATCTATTTGTTAAAATTTCAATTTTCTCAGTAGAACATTTGATTAAGTTTTAATTCTCTGTGTTTATGATGGCAATTTAAATATATCCAGGCGTGTAAGTTCAAACAACATAATTGAAATCTAGACTATTTTAGTACATATGGCTGTTCCCTACATGAATTTTTTTCACTAAAAATATTCCACCAGTCGAGTAATTAAATAAATTTCTGTATTTGCCTAGTAAAAAATAATGAGGTCCATACCGAAAATTGTGCAAATTTTTCAGGTGAAACTGTGCGAAAAAACAAAATCACTGCAATAATTAGCTGTTGAAAATGGGCGAAGTACTAATGAGCAGAATTCGCCATACGACTCATTTTCATTGTAACTTTGAATTTTCCAATCGTACACTCATAGAGAATATCAAATTAATTTTGTTGATATCTGAATTTTACGAGGCGAATTTGTTGAGCTATTTACTTAATTTCTATCATATTCGAAATACACTAACGTTCTTTTGGTGTGAACATTTCAAAGCTTTACAATGAATACTATCATTGCATATATAATACTCCCGGGGGGAATATTCGGATTCATGAATATAACTGCTGACATCGTAAACGGCATCACAATTGTTATTGCTATTGTAAAATCACAATGTCCAGAATACGTACTTTTCTCAAACGTTCCCAGAAATTACCTAAGGAGGCCTCATTTAAGTTATATTGTCCTCGGGTGCCTGCCTTCACAAAGTGGACCTCGCCGCGCAATGGCCAATTGCACACACGCGTGCCTCTCAACAACCCTGCCGCTAATTTTTTATTGTTAATAAGTCTTTGTAGTCGCAGAAAATAACTGCTCGATAAAGACGTATGTGCTCTTTCACAAGAGTCTACATCTATAATAATAGTCTTTGATAACAGTCCTAACGGCTCTATATTTGATACAATCAGATGGAAGGTTATGGACATGACGGCTGCAAGTCTTCGTATATGGGCTGTAATATACTCGTAGATGGCGTATATGGGTTGTAATATGCTCGTATATGATATATAGTTTGAGTTAATGGGATGACGGTCTATATGTCTGCTATTTGAACATGTATTATATACTGCTCTGAAGCATGTGAATATGCTTACAGAGTTAGTGTTGGATGCTTCGACACCTTTCATTCGTCATTGCATTTAAATGGTTTCACTTGGTAACCTTCCCGGTGCAATGAAAATTAGTCGAAAACTTTAATTAATCACATTGGCCGGATTGAATAAGAGAGATTCCAGTGAATTATGTAATATTTCTGCATGTTCATTAAAATATTACGAAAAATGTTTTCATAGCTATTGCTTAAGCATATAATATCGCTCGACAATTTTTAGCATGTGATGTGGGAAACTTTTTGCGAATTTTTGATCCCTTATTCTGGGCGGTCTTCAATAAGATGTTAATGTCACCTAAGGTAATTAAAAGACAACATTCACCGTATATAGTGGATCTATTGACCACGTACACATGATATTTATACAAAAAAATCACGATACAGGAAAACGCTACTTATATGCATCCAGTCCTAGACACTAGAAAAATTGGCTCACCTGCTGAAATATAGTAGAATATTCGTATGCACATCATATGTTGGGTGTCACGTGGCATTGTATTGCACGTAAGTAAACTGCCGGGCACGTCATGAGCTCTACACTGCACGTAAGAACTCTGCCGTGCACGTAATTAGCTCTACACTGCACGTAAGTACTCTGCCGTGCACGTAATGAGCTCTACACTGCACGTAATTACTCCGTCGTGCACGTAATGAGCTCTACACTGCACGTTATTACTCTGTATAGCCCGTGAGCTTTGCACTGCACTGAAGGAGCGATATATTAACTGCACGTAAGAAGCTTTGCATTGCCCGCGATAAGTTCTGCACTGCACGTAATGAGCTCTGCATTGAGTAATATCATTATCCCTTTATCTGTTGTGAAACTTACAAGATTATTTTAGAACTCAGAAGGAATGTAACGTTTTAACTTATTTTGGGCCAGTAAACTTTCAGACCTCAGGTTGTATGAATAAAAAACCAAGAAAGATTCGAACTTGAGTGTATCGAAAGTTAGCATGAAAATTTTATAATCAGCGCGTAATCGTAATATTTAACACTTAAACTCGGCGGATAAACTTGAGGAGAGGAGCAAAACAATTTGAGTTAATTAAAGATTTCGGTTCTTAAACTTCAATTAAATTGTCGCTAATATTGTCTGCTGATCTTTATTTCGTAATGGGCTCGGATAACGTTTTAGACGAGTAAGCGCGTAATCAACTTTTAAAAATTCATTTAAATCTTTGATTATTCATGTGAGAATAATTCAACAATCGAAGGTAAAATGTCAATAATAAAATTTGCAGACAAAATCGCATTTAACACATCAAGATTTTCAGGAAGAAACTGTGTTGGATTGAAATTTGCACGTGTATTGCCCATGCAAGGATTGTGATCACGAGACACGTTCAAGATAGACAACCAAGATCAAATTAAACGATTAAAAAAATTTTGAAAATTCGTTAAGCAAATTTCCTGTGAACATAAATGACTGGAATGAAAGCCAAAAAAATAGAAAGAGCAATTTTCAATGACATCCTGAGAATTTTGAGAAAGCATAAATAGATGTAGACAAAGGAAAAAATGTCTATGTTAACCAGAGATGGCACTAGAGGCTTCTGGATGAACCTGGCTGAACTAGACATGAACTTCCTGGCTGACATTTCAATTTTTACGAGAATATAGATATTGAAATATGTTCTTGACTTCTTGCGTCCATTTGTACATGAGAATAAATATAAATATTCTATATATACGTGCATGTCTTTACACTCTATGTCATGTGAACAATAAGAAATGTGAATTTCGTACAAATTTTGCGCATAATGTAAAAATCTAATGTAAATCGTAAGATTAGTTCACACTCAGGAAAGCGAATTCTAATTATAAGAGGACCAGTTTATGAAATTTTATAATTTTTCTTGTTTTCAAAATAAATGTTCCAAATTTAAATCGAACTCGAATAAAGGCTTTTAACGATTCTTTATATTATGCAGTAAAAATTTGGGGATAATAAATGTTATTCGTATTGAACTAGAACAGATTTACAAATGAATGCGTAAGAAAATTTGAATAAAGAAATTTTTCCGTGTTGAAGTTCTGACAAGTTATACTTACGTATTAAAATACATGAAGGCAAGACACTTATTGTAGTTTATGCATTTTCCAGTAATCGAACACTATCAGTTAATAATCTTATAACAATAAATACGATTTGTAATTATCTAAGCTGTGCATTTATATACACGATATGTTTTTCACACTAGGGCAAAGTTACTTACTTCACTCATCAATAATGTTTGCAATTGCAAAACATTTTTCCATGACGACCACTTGAATAATCCAGATTTAATTTTTATTATATATATAATCCATACATGAAATATTGAAATGAATGATTCGATTGAATGAATTCACTGTGACATTGGGGAAGAGGTTCTATCTACGTCACTAGACAATTGAATATTACGACGAAAGCTATTCATGCTTAGCATTATTATCATAGTTATTATTGGTTTAGATGAAGGATTTTATCTGAGAAAGAGATTATTAAAAATGATTAAGATTATTTAGAAAAAAGTACATACACGAATATATTGACATAAACTCACATTTTGTACACATACGCCACACTTGTGACGGCTTCATACAGTTGTGTTTTTTGCTATATCTTTCGTAAATTGAAATCAAAGTTCAAAAAAGTTGTAGGAATGATTTTGCACATTCTTGTCGAGAAAATAAAATACTCCCAGTTGATACCCACCGTACTTGTTGTTTACTAAACAATTTACAAGTCGAACATATACAGATGTTCAGCACAAAACTTCTCCTATAACATGAACATTAGGAATAAATACAGAGGCATTATCGTGAACAGCGAAGTCCCTGCAATTTAGGAAATTCAAGGCAAATCTTCTGCTGTTATTCCCCTTAATTTGGCGAGAGCTTTGAACCGTAGGACTCTCTGGTAGATGACCTCCGCCATACTGGGACTTGCGGACGCTCGAAGCGCACTTTTGCGGACTGCAAAAGGCTGTCATTGTGTACAAGTTTGCAGTGAACCACACGGCGATTGACCAGGCAGCGAGATAAAGCACGGAGCCCCTAGCGCCCCCTCCCTGAAGGGTGAGAGTCCGTGGGCCGGCCGAGCTAGCACTCTTCACCCCGAGTTGCCGCACCGGAGTCTTGCGACTGCCTGACGAAGGGCCAGCGTTGCTGCCTGGGGAGCTATTGCTGCTCACGGGGTTAGTGTCCGAGGCCGTCTCCGTATCTGCAACGAAACGCCCAATGTAACTTTACGAGGAGAATTAGCTCGTGGATTTTCGATATTTACGATTTTTATCGGAGCTGTCCCGTTGTAACGGGATGCACAGAACCACTTTTAGATTGAACATTTCCGTTACAGCTCGAACGATCCTGGATTTACCTGCAGGGAATTTCTCGAGCCCTGTCACCGTATCCGGAAGTAAGAGCGCAATGAAGCTTCATGGTGGAATATTTTCAACACGTCTGGCATTCTCTTCTTACCTTCAGCGTAGAATGTTATTCAGCAATATTGTGGGAAATTTTCACCAGGATTTATTGATATAGTTGAAATTTACTGGACTTGAATATCGAATTTGATCTAATTCGCGGCAGGCATAACAAGAATTTATGGAGCCACTACGAGAAAATATGGACAATTATGAGATAAATTCACCCGTACGGATTTTTCTAAATTTCACATGATATTAGAGTAAGTGGAAGATGGAAATTCTCTTAAAAGTGGTTACTACGCCAAATGAAATTATCATTATTCTTTTCATCATTAATTCAGAAGCAAAGTGAAACTATTGAGCTGCAATTTCATTTTATTATGTAAAGCATGTTTTAAATTATCTTATTTGATAGAGATTTATTCTACTAACTATTAAAAAAAGGCGGCCAGAGTGTCAATTCCATCGTCCATGTCAAAATTTTCGTTTAAATGCTCATATTCTAATTCCTGGGTCTGTCAGGAGGTGAAGCATATGCATGGATGGATGGATGGACAGATGATTTGAGATTGGCAGAGGAATGTAAACGTTGCTGGGCATTATTGGAATGCAATTTTAAATGACCACATATAGTAACTTGCACGCCAGAGGGTTGATGTTTCCCTTAAAATTAACAATTGATTTATTTTACTCTCCCAAATGATTCTATGAACAGGATTTCCGAACCTTTCATCGTCCGGTCCTCTTACCACCAACACGTGCATTTATCCGGATAATTCAACAGTATTAGAATTAAGCTGCACGGAAAACTCATGTGAAATTTATTTCTCTGCCTCTTTGGTTTTTTACAGTAACCACTTATATAGTAAAATAATATAATATACATCGCTTTAGCTCTCCTTTTATAAGTGCGTTTGCAAAAATATTCAGTACCGGCTAAATGGATGAATTTTAGATTCCCTCTATGAATAACATAGTTCAAGGAATAATTAATCATAAACTCGCATAAAATATTCATGATCAAATAGCAAGACTCGATAAAATGATACAAAAATAAGTGAAGGCTGAAGCCTCTGAAATGTACTGTGACAGTACAATATTTAATTGTTTTGTGAACAATACACAATATTTATAAAAGCCGAGGATCAATAGAAATTGCGAAAAAGATTACCCCCGCAATCGGATTGTTGGCGTTCTGAAGCTCTGATTGGATTACCACACACACACATCCAGTGTAACTCAATAACTCAATCGGCTACCGTTACAATGACAATCACAGGATATAGAGAAAAAACCGCTCTCTGAATTAGAATACAAGAGAAATTACGGCGCAGAATTTTGAATTTAAGTGAGTTAAGAGCTCTTCCGATCGTTTATTGTGAACAATATCCATTATGCTATTCATTTTTAATCCACCAGAAAAAACAACTTAAGAAAATATTTGTCAATGACAGGCCTAAAATCATGTAACCATTAGTATCGTTATTAATAGTGATGGTTCTCCACTGATCAGTAGACTGATCATCACACTGTCCTTTCGTCTAGTTAATTGCCTCCAATACGCATTCATTCCTCTGCTTTGATATCAAATATCAATTAAATCTGTCCATGCGGATTACCGGCATAATATTTTCATGGAATTAATTGTCATGTATCCACTATCTTGCTTCCATTAAAAATAAGGTGAACTTACCTGGCGTTTTCTTTGTTTCTAAATTTTTGAAGAACCATGAATATTCGGAGGCCAATTTAATATTATTCATTCATAATAGTTATAAATATTTTAATGCGTTTAATTAATAGTAACCTTCAACGACGTGCACGTGTACAGACGAGGGCGAGGCGTTGCTAGGCTCACAGGTGTAGTTGCCGCCGTGATCATCTGTCACGGAGCTCACGGTCAGCACGCTGCACGCCAAACATGTTGCTAATTAGAAGATGCTGAGTGAATTAATCTGATTCGCATGATTGTTAACTATAATAAATATTATAAACAACGTTTAAGCCATTGTTATTAGCTAGCAGGTTAGCCCAGCATTGCTCGTTATTACCGATATACCTAATCCGTAAAAATTACGAAGCTTATGTCTTCTAATCGATTATTAGAAGTTCTTTCAAACTCACATATTACGCATATAAACATATGACACGACTTTCATTTATTCTCATTTTAAAATATGAAAAACATTTTGCTTCTCTGCGTCGTTGCAATTATATATTTTTGCCAATTTAAAAATTAAATTAAATTTTTCGATCCAGTCCTTCCCCCTTCCTTCTAATCCTGTCCTATTCCCCCCATTAAAAATGAAATCACGGGACAAGGTAATATATCGAGGAGACTCGACCCCTGCAGCACTTACATATTTGTGGCGCCTGGCTTCTTACATACACATAAGCCATCCCACAAAATTGGCAAATATTTATAAAAATCATATCTCTCATCACATTGGATAATAATTTTAGTATTTTTTAATGCAATGCAGGAGCTTGCAAAATTTAGCATTTTCGCATTTCACCAATATTTTTGCACTTCTATCGTGTGATTAAAAGTTTTCAAATGCATTAAACATGCTTTCTAGTCAACGTTATGCGTAAAGTGCAGAAGACGATAATAATCCGAAGTGCCTCAATAGAAAGTTCTTCATGGAACATAAATGTTTCAATGAATTCTAACGTTTGAAATAAACTGCCATCGTTATGTATTATGACGAGCGCTGTTCAACTGTTATGCAGTACTGCAACAAGATACAGAATCTTAACAGTTGAACAGCCTGTAGTCACGTACGAATACAACAGAACTGTTGTGTTAAACAGGCCGGCCTGCCCTTATATAGCCCTACTAACGTTACTCTGCATCGCGAAGACTCGCCATGCATTACAAATAGACCTGCTTTTCACTCCATCACCTGCCTAATAGACCTAACTGATAGACAAGACGCATCATCGTCGAGTTACCGGCGGCCATTCTTCGGCCACCAACCATGTTGTCGGCCCTTTTTAATAAGGACGATGTCGAGCTCGAGTAGCAGCGAGTCTTGCATGTCTCGAGTTGTCAAGCTGCAGGTCATTTAATTACCTGTAGTCCTTGCCAGACACGACCTTGACGTTTCTCTCGGTGTCATAATTGACCATCCGACGTCCCTGGTACCAGAAGACGAAGCTTGGAGGCGACGTTGCGTTCCTCATGGAGCACACCAGACGAAGGCTGCTGCCTGATGCCACAACGCGCTCCGGAGGCCCAAGAATTTCACTGAATGGTTCTGGAAATGAATTAGGATTTCACTTTTAGATTAATCTAAGTCATATAAAATTAAAAATACCTGGAATGAACAATTACATTGTGTCCTTCTGGAGATAATGTCGTTGTAGGCGTGGATACATTCGGTGAAGTAATTAAAGAGTGTACGGAAGTTACAATCTTAACAAGTACATGTGAACGGGAAGTACTTCACTAAAATCGATCCGCTGAAGCAAAATATATCTTATATATGAAAACGAAGAAGGTCATTGTGAAAAACCAGATCGAAGCGATATAATCTTTATAATTTAGATCTAAATTCAAGGTTTCTAGAACTAAATATTTAAAGGCAAGCCATCAGCCGAAGTAATCAATTTGCTTAATTTATGCCGCACTCAACGCTAAATAACGTCAACTGCCTTAATAATTGAGACCCCAAATCATGCAAAGTGGGATACGAGTCTTGACTACATACATTACTAAATATTGAGAATACAAAAGATGAGTTTGCAATTTTCCTCACATTTGAAAAGTGAACCTGGACTTTTTATTTGCTTCCCAAAGAGCGCAGTAACCAATTTTGACTCTCACTTGCACCCTCGGGAGTTAGATTACAAGCAATAATGGAGCTTTTCAAGCAATTTAGATAGAAAAGACAGAAAATCAAATATAAAGTTCTAATTTACAGATATGTGCAGTTCTTTTATGTGCAATATAGAGCAATCAGGACTCGCAATGCGTTATAAAAATCCAACGAAGGCTACGACGCGCCACTTCACATCTCCTGATTAAATTTAATAGCTCAAGGCAGAGGGGGGCCTGGACTTCATTTTTTTCAACTTGAAATTTATTTCAAAAGCCAGGCTCAAGCGCCAAGCAAATGAGCTATAAAATAAGCTGCAGAAATGTTGGCCGTTTTCCTCCATTTGCCGTGACTCCGCTGGGAGCCCGCGTCTCAAGCTCGACTTTTTATCTACGGTATTTCACTCGACTGCCGGCGCTATAGGTGTCTTGCGATTTACTGTCCTAACATTTATTTATGATGTTTTGTTTACATATTTATTTAAAATGTATAAATAACACATCTAGGTCATTGTATTGGTCATATCTAGGCATCACCGATGACCGAACATAGTTCTTAATGAAAACCTAAGATAATATTTATATTTGCCGCGTATGCATTGATGTTATTAGATCAAATTAAATAGAAAAAAGGGTCTCGTTTTCCTAATAATGCAAGGTAATTCATTCCCAAGCAAGACCCAATAATAAAGAAAAATGAATAAAAATTGCGAATTAATCAAAATTGTGTTAACCTGAAGAGAATTTATAAAGACATATACCTGGAACAAATACTCTCAAAGCTTTCATCCACGGTACCAAAAAATCTTTTTGTTCTATGCAATTAATTTTTAGTGTAACACTTTTATAAAAAATATTAGCCATTCTACGACAGTGAATTTTATGACAACACGCAGCCACTGTTTACACAAATAGCGTCCCAAAATATTAGGCTTTTTGTCGAGTCCAAGTGTCAATTTTAAAGGATATTCCAGTGAATTTATGGCCGTGCGCCACAAAATGCCTCAAAGCAATGGTAGTGCGACTGTTTGCCTTCACTGCAGGCGGCTTGACTTTGAGTGTCGTGTGTCCACAAAACAGCAGAAATAATTTTCGTGATTCAACAGTCGAAAGCTTTTGTCAATGGTTCAACAGTCAACAGATGTTCAAAAGTAGCTGAATACTGTGACGCAATCAAAAAATCATCACTCTATGTCAAACACGTTTTTCAACATTTTTTTTAAAGGCATACAACTAATCAAAAGCTTGTAGTAACGACTTAAAAATCGAAAGTCTTTGGTTGCCTTTGACTGAACAAAAAGACCGTTAGCAGCTTTTGAACTAGAGTAAAATCGCTAAAAATTGCGACTGAAAATTTTTTTTTAGCTGGTCTGCAGTATGAAATGATTCAACATTCCTAATAATCAGTGTGTTTGCGATTCAACTGTGAACGGCCTTTCTATAAGATTAAAAACATGGCCGCCTGCATGAACGATTCAACGACCCTGCTGCTAGTGTGTGCAATTGAATTCTAACATGCCTACGAATACCGTTCAACCCTAATCTGCCTGAGGATACGGTTAAACACTGCAACTCTTTATGATTCAACACTACTAAGCGTGTACACGATTCAACACTCCAACGCACGAATACGGTTCAATACTACAGAGCGCGTATACCATTCAACACTATAACGCGCGTATACGATTGAACACTACAACCCGCGTAAACGATTCAACACTATAACGTGTTTATAGTATTTAATACAACATTTAAAAGCGCGTACACCATTCAACACTCCAACGCGCGGATACAATTCAACACAGTCCCCAGATCCGTGATAACAAATCATCTCTCCCTGAGCGCTCAATTTTCGCATGGAAGACTGGAGAAGACAGGCAGTCATTTCCTGATCACATGTACAGCTGTTAAGAATGGAAATTTTCAGTAAAAATTCTGTTTTTTTTTTTTAATTATTGCTATTCTTCATGATAAAATAAAACATAGTTGCCCATAGATGCGAGGAATTGCCCTGTTAATGAATATCTTAAAATCAAATCCAATCTACTCTAATCTCGTCGTTATTCATTAAATATAGATATACGAGTACGTTTCGGATTGGACGCGAAATTTAAATCCAACAACTTTTTTTGCAACTCTCAATTTGCAAATATTATGCAAATTCCTTCTGGAGGATATATCAGCGATTGGCCCTGTGGTTCTTTCAGATCCATTCAACCATCTTCTCTCCGCCGTGAAATTTATTGGGAATCGCTTTGCTACTTGACAACCAACGAAAGATTTTGAATTTCCGACGAAAACTTGGGAAGTCCATTAGCGAAGTGACATTCAGTCGCGCGATGAGACGCGCTTTGCCGCACAACATTGCATCAGCGACAATTGAGCTCGCAAATCTGCTAGCGCATGCAATTAATTCCGGGACAATTTTTTTCTTTGGATCCAATGTTGCGAATTCCCATGACGATAAATTATTCTTCTTAAAAACATCGACCACCATGCCGATGAAGAGTCACGATCATCGCTAACTTCTACCGATATCATCCGTGCTTCAAATACTGATAAATAACGGAGACTTTCAACTTTTGGGGCGTTTTAACTTAGAAAATTTGTTTAAGACCGTTAAAAGCACAATGTTTCACGCAAAACATAAAATTTGATGACAAAATTTCTCATAAGAAAATTCACTAAATATTTCCCTGGATTGCCTTCTCTATGATCAATATATTAGAGATATTTTCAATGAGGAATTTTGGAAAAAAGCTCTTTCAATGAATAATTATCAATTAGACTTAACAATTTTCCCTTCGCTGTCAATAAAAAAGTAATTGCACCCCAAAATAGTCTCGCCCTATATTAATGTCACACCCTGCATTTCAATAATCTTATTCCCATGTGCCTAATTTTGCATTGGCTTATAAAAGCTACAGAGATTCAAATTTCTCGGTATTTGCTCTTGAAAATTTGGAGGAAGGCAATGTAAGACGAACTATATAAGAATTATTTATGTTCATAGAAGAAATTTAATTACTTATTTTTCTGAAGTAATATTAAGTCGTTCCTGCCATGGATGCTCCGTAACTCAGTTTTAAATTTTGAAGTCTCTGTGATATGACTCTTTCCTGAGTCTCTTTCATCACACGTTTTATAATTTCCCTTTGCTCAAAATGGTCAAATGCTTGAATGTGAATAATTTTCCTGTTGGAATTTTATCCTAAAATGCCAGCAGTCATTTTGAGAGAGACGACGTCCGGCCACCTATAATTCTACCATAGTTTCCTGCAGGGACCACTAAGGCAGTCGACGGCCCTTGAAGCAGCTCTTTATAACAGCTCGCAAAATCTGAGCCGATCGTTTGGAAGTCTCGATGAGGAAGCGACTGTTGGAGTCTCCGAATCAAACGCCTTCCAAGTAAAATATAACTTTCCCCCGAATTTTGGTATTGAGAAAACATCAAAGATGAGGAAATAGTTTGGGTTTTATGAATACTAAAGCGCCGCCGAGATATCGAATGGACGACTTGAGTACCGATAACAGCGACTCCTGTTCGAAGGCGATTTTATGGTGGCATCTTTGGTGCCTTGAAGGACGAGTGCCACGCCAAAAACCCCACAAAAACTGACACACAAAAAGCGATCCTGCGACACTGATAAGTTCCCTGCAAAAATGCTGCCTGAAAATGCAAGGTTTGGACAGCCCGACTTGTTTTGTGGGATAAAATATGGACCACGTGAGACGATAAGCAAAGTGAATAAAGCACGGAAAGCGTACGTTCGGGCGGGAACGAACGTTCGAATAAACGAATTCTTTTGTCATATAACATGGATTTTAGAAATGTTAAGAAATAGTGAAATAACATCAATGCTGGACAGAATGATGAATCAAAGATAAAATTCCGTTTGTAAACACATAACTCAGCACACATTTTCAGTTTTTAAAGATTATTGAAACGCTCGAAGCTTATTGCGTTAATTAAATGGAAACACTGTATACTGATCCAAAATAACTCTGATTAACAGCGAATTGAAAGGTAATATTTTGAGAAGCTAATTATCATTAATTAACAAGAAAATATATACGTTCATTCAATTTTATGGGGGTATTTTTTACGCGTGCCAATCCAAGCGGCGAGAACTCGGAGCCCTGATAATAACGTTATTTATTTTATTAGTGTTCTGAACTACTCGTTCCTTTTTACAGCTTATGACAGGATTTTCATGACCCTGAGTGAAATTCACTATTTCCAGTAATTTCTCTTTAATGTATTCTAGAGCTCACCCACAACGTGGAATAAATGGGAAATCATTAATACTCATGGCTCCGTAGGCGTCCTCCAATATCTTTCTATCCGATTATAAATGGTGATTTTCGTTGGAAAATCCAGTCATTCAACTCGTAATAACTACCAGACATAATCTTGCCGTATCACATTTTTTCCATTGACACGTGTAATCAAGTTGTACGCTCCTGTTCACTATAACACGAGTTCATTATTCCCCTCAACTGATGCTGGTGTGAGGTTATGTTATTTCACTTTAATGTCATAGCACGCACGTGAACGCTAGCTGAACATTAATTCAAACCGTCTTTCTAGTCAAGAATTCTAAAATCTATTTGTCCGACGTTGAATAACTATTGATTTGCAATGTCCTAGTCTTTTTTTTGTATAATTATTAGCGAAACTTTAGTAAGTCAGGCAAACAGCAATTTACGTTTTTCACGCAACTCTCAGGGACATTCCATGGCCATGAATGTGGGCAGCGCATAAAATTCATCATGAATGTAAAAGATGAACGGGAGTGCCCATAACAGCTCAGATATTGTGCGTGTTCACTGACGATTATATCAAAACTTTAACCTCAGGGCATTTTGTTGCAGCATTTTGTTGTTATTATACTTTTTATACTTTCATGAGTAACTCCGCATTCTCTGTTGTTAAGCAATATAATTATTCATAGCAATTGATTGTCCAAGGTTATATTGTCAACGTTGAAGAAGGTCAGAGCTTGAAATTATAACAATTGCGAGCAGCTGATCACTATTTTTTTCGGAAAAGTTTTCAATATAATTAAGTAGTATGAAGTCGCTTTTCTTTTGAACAGTGATCCGATTAAAAAAGCATAAAAGTACAGATGCGATATGCTAATACGCAATACCAAAATTTACAATATGATAATGAATGATACCAAAATGATAATGCACCATCTCAGTACAGCTAGTATGATGATGCACCATCTCAGTACAGCTAGTATGATGATGCACCATCTCAGTACAGCTGGTATAATTATGCACCATCTCAGTACAGCTAGTATGATGATGCACCATCTCAGTACAGCTGGTATGATGATGCACCATCTCAGTACAGCTAGTATGATGATGCACCATCTCAGTACAGCTAGTATGATGATGCACCATCTCAGCATAAATGTCGATAAAAATTTTTCCCGCGGCAGCACAGACGACAAGAAATTTGTAGCCCTGACACAAAAAGTGGCTACCCAACTAACAAACGAATGTACATTCAAAAATATATTGTCAGGAATGGTCCAATGCTGAACAGAATTAGGTTAAAGGGCCAATAATTTTACGATTCCATCACAAGGTTTCAGTTTTCGTAGAAATAAAGGGCAGATGATACGGTAGGGTTAACAGGTATAAGTCATATAATCCTCATGAAATATCATACTCACCGGCAACCGTGAGATGGACGAGGGTGGAGGTGTGAGGGTAGGTCGAGATCTGACATTCATACTCGCCCTCGTCAGAGTGGGTCACGTTCAGCACATTAAGGAACCACACCTGAGGACGAAACAAATAACTCTCGATACATTTACTTTTTATTGATTTATAAGGCAATATAAAAGGTGGTATAATAAATATGAATCCTATATGACGTACGACTCACGTATACTAAGATACGACCAGGTTATTTACAGGAGTCATGCCTTTCATCCGGGAACAACAATAACAAAGGGAGCTAATCAAAGACGTACAGTTTTTGTATACGATTGGGATGTAATTTAGAATTATGATATTGGAACCTTGGGATAATGTAGTAACCAGAGTTCCAACATTGATGTAAGCAATACTTTAATGCAGTTTATGTTGAGGTGCAAGTGTAATGAATATATTTATAAATATTATGAAAATATATTTCCAATTGAAATATTATCATGAAAGAATATGAACAACAAATGAATTTTCTTCAAAAGAAAGGCTGCACAAGCAAATCTATCATATAAAAAGAATTAAATAAATCGAACTGGGCAGGGTAAAGGATCTCACCAAAGATTTATTGTGAGGGAGAAATTTTTGTTTTGTGACATGTTGCTAAACTGCATTCAAGCAGCAAATACAGTAAGTGTAGGCTTCCTTGACGGAGCATCGTTACTGAAAAGTTCGTCCAGATGAAGTTCGTATGCTGTATTAACTTTAAATATAAGTGGTTGCTTAAGTAACTCGAATAATTGAGTTCGGCAGCGGCCTCGACTTCTTGCAGTAATAAAAGTCGCAAACAACTGAACTGAGAGAAAAAAACTGAAATATTTATGGTAGCGAAGCGAGTTGGTACAGACTCGAGACGTTATGGGCGAGGCGAGACATCGTCGTCTGTACAGACTAGGGATGTTGGAGGCGAGACGAGACATGGTCGTCTGTACAAACTAGGGATGTTGGAGGCGAGGCGAAACATCGTCGTCTGTACAGACTAGGGATGTTGGAGGCGAGACGAGACATGGTCGTCTGTACAGACTAGGGATGTTGGAGGCGAGACGAGACATGGTCGTCTGTACAGACTAGGGATGTTGGAGGCGAGGCGAGACATCGTCGTCTGTACAGACTAGGGATGTTGGAGGCGAGGCGAGACATCGTCGTCTGTACAGACTAGGGATGTTGGATGCGAGGCGAGACATCGTTGTCTGTACAGACTAGGGATGTTGGAGGCGAGACGCGACATCCTCGTCTGTACAGACTCGGGATGTTGAAGCAGAAAATTTCAACGCTAGGATGCATAAAAATAACTAAACCGTCCGGTATTGTTTGTTTGTTTAATACCTTAAGAGGTGAAGAATTTTAAACATTTGAGTTTAAGTTGCATATACTGTTATGCTTTAGCTGAAATATCAATGTTCAACGTTAATTAACATAGACGAACCCAAGATGAAAGGAAACCCAATAAATCGAATAGGGTCAAATTATTCTCAGAAATTGCGAACTGATACACGACTTGCTCTGGCATACGGTATTCAACAGCAGAACATTAGCTTACTTTCTATCATCCTATGTTACAAGCATAAGAAATTTCATCAAACGGTACGAGGTTTGATCGAGCTTAATCACTATCGGTAGCCAAGATTGAAATCGAGTTTCGCAATGAATACTAATTATCAGAATTATAATGCCTATAAAAAGAGATTCACTGATAGGTGTGAACGATGGTGACCAGATGGAAACAATGACGGAAAAAACACAAACAGTTGCTAAGCTGAGTTAAAATAATATGCGTTCAAAAATTACTTTTTAAAGACAACACTTCAAAAGAATACAATGTTTCCAAAGTTACACATCTACAATGAATTTCTAATTTTATTTCCATACATAAAAAAATATTTTTTTTTTATTTTTTCATAAATTAAAAATTGTATTTAAATCATGTTTAATAAATATTTTATTCAAAATAATTTATTGTGTCAACTGATTCATGCATCGTCTCCGAATTTACGCAAGTGTGCAAAATTTCAGATCAATTGGACAGGTAGAATTGTGTTGAATATCGATTATAAGACTTGTAGAATAAAAAATTATTTTGAAATTTTTTAAATTACAAAATAAAATTTATTTCTAAAATTATATAATCTGTCAATTGATTCCTGAATGTCTCCGACTTTACGCAAGTGTGCAAAATTACAGATCGATTAGAGAGGTAGAAGTGTGTTAAATATCGATTACAAGATTTGTAGCAGACAGACAAACATACAAGAAGTGAAGTTAAAGAGAAGTGTTGTAGAATTAACCTACCAACATGACGAAAATTGTTGCATTGCATGATAAAAAAACATGCGAACAGAAGGTAAAATGTTTACAATAGAAAATTTATGGTCAGTGAGCGCAACTCGAATGACATGCAAGGTGTCTGGAGAAAACCAATAGCAATATAGTATGCAAATCAAGCAATATTCTTGCCCAGAACTAATGGCTGGATAAGAACGATATACATAGAAATTGTTTTGCTCTGCGCTCGACCGAAGCAGGTCTTGGAGAAGGACCACGCTGAAATTGCATACGCATAAGTCATTTTTAATGCAGGTTTCGTTGAAGACCAGAGAGTATTTCTTATTGACAATTTTCTTATTATTTTTCTCGATTCGGCGAATTAGGCTCTTGATAGGAAGTGAAAATCCAAATATCAGGTTTCCAAGGGACATTTTATTATAATTACCTGATATTTGGATTTTCACTTCCTATCAAGAGCCTAATTCGCCGAATCGAGAAAAATAATAAGAAAATTGTCAATAAGAAATACTCTCTGGTCTTCAACGAAACCTGCATTAAAGAACAGCTTCTGCCAAACTACAATAAGGCATTTTTATGCATATACATACAATATCATTTATTTCTTGATCCCAACTACTCTAGAGAGTGGAAGTAATTATTATGAAGTGTCTCCTTTTTTTAATTACAAAATCTGATAGCGTCAAAATGCAGATTTTCATTCGGTATTATTTGTAAAATATTTGGAATTTTGCTGAATTTTTAGACCAGAACATATGTGAATGAATATTTATATAATAAAAAGCCCAAATTAAAAACATTTAAACCGGCCAAATAAACAATAATTACGTTTTTTGTTGGAATTCCTGGAATGATATTATGAATTCGTGTTTTGAAACAAAGATTTAAAATTTAACACTTTTATATATGGGACAATATGTGCACTGATGTCACGCAAGTCATTTATTTCTCGTAACGCAATCTCATTATAATAAGCTGCAGGAAGATAAATTCTAGTATCTTATCATTTCACATAACATCTGAAATCGAGACTAGACTTTTGACAACTATCTTGATATCTCATGGAACAATTTAAAATGCCCGGGGAATGTTTTTCCCAGTCATGCTTAGATCTTACATTTATTCTCCTTTACTAATTAGATATCTACTTTGTTGAGGACCAAAATGAGCGACTTGTCATTCTAATGAATCTCTTGAGCAAGTTCTGCCTCTTGCCGCTGGTCCCTTGAGGGGAGACTTCTTTATGAACAGAGAACTCGTGCTTCCTTATTAAAAAAGACGACCGAGAAATATTACTTTTTATCAAGGAAATAGCGGTATTGCATGATCCAAGAGATTTCTTAGTTGTCAACTACCTGGAATTCTTTTTCATCATTTTTCAAACAGTAAAATTCGTTCGTCAAGATTTATACTTTAAGGTAGAATCTCTTCTGCAATAACTTTACTAATGCACAAAAATGGAAGAAGAGAAGACGCTAAATGTGAATTTGTCATTTATGAAATTCCTTTGCAATTCCTTGATATTACTGAAATATGCTCATTTAGTGGATTGGTGTGTATATTTTACTAATATTCTTACGCATCATCATAAAACATACATGTTCATAATATTTATCCAGATTTATAGTTGTCGCAGCACCTCTCCCTTTTGACCGGCCAATGATGGAAATTTCAGAAAACAGCAGAAAAAAATTTACTACCAACCACCAAATTCATTCGAATATACTTAATCTTTAGTGAGTAAAAGACTTTTAAATATTTACTGTCCATCAAACTTAAATGTGCTACTTAATTTGAATATATATTTGCAAGCAAATTTGCAATGTTTAACGTGGCTTGGAAGTCTAAATTCTTTTGAGTTCAGAGAGAACGCAAATTATTACTTCGGAAAATTTCACTGCATGTATTCGGACCGGAAACATTAACAAACCAATTTACTAGCACTCAAAGAGGCCGGAAATATTTTATGCTAATTACCCATATTTTCAGTGCATTCGTTTCCACACAAAAGCTACAGTGTTTCTATACGTATTTCTCAGGCGTGTTTGATGAAGACCATTATGGGCGTTAAAAACGAAAATGAAAAAAGGTTGCGCGCTGCCGTCTCCTACGTAATGATCTTAAAGACTCAATTACGTGCCACAGCGCTGCAGGAGCGAGTGCAGCGCTGCACTGAATAAAAATTTCAACCATTCTGTGGTAGGGAAAACACCGGCGCAGAAAAGAAAAATGATCGAAACGAGCGTGTATTCCCAACCCTATTGTTCGTCATCATTGTTATTGCGATCGATGAAAACGAATAGAACTGAAAACTACATGCTAAAATTGAATTTTTGTTTAGGAAGTTTGGCAGCATCACTATGAATTGTCGTGCTATAACACTGGACTAAAGTGAAATTGTAACGTACCTAAGATAAACTAATCCAAAGCTGCAGCAAAGCAAACACATAGATGATTTTCGTAATATTTTGCTTAACTCTATATTTCACGTTATCGTTAGAAGTTTTGTTGAATTATTTCGTGGTTTTAATTGAAGGTATTGACTTACTCTAGAATCGTATTTTTTATTCATACGTTTTTTCAACATATAACTGTTTTGTGAGTTACCTCCAGATTTCATATTGAAATGTATTGATGTTATTTCAATATTAATTGTCTTCGAAAATGCCAAATAAGTGTGTCGATTATCCAGATCCATTATGTTATAATTGTGAAACGGTGAAATTTGTTTCACAGAAACATACTGTCAAATCAATTATCAAGAAAGCTTACCATTTGTACTTTGGATG